ACGGGACCTTTGTCCCGTGTATATCAAAATGTACATTACGTAAAGTGATTCAGACTCCAGACAATATTATTCCTATGATCACGTAAATGCCCAGTGTATATTATAATGAAAATATCGCATTATTAATATATTTTTAACCGACTTCAAAAAAGGAGGAGGTTCTCGATTGTATTTCTTTGTGCGTATGTTACGCGATTAATATGAATTTCGTGAACCAGTCTCAATGACTCTTTGTTAGATAGATTTTAAGGCTTTCGTGGTTAACCACTAAATGGTCATCACTAATTTCAGGCTTCTTACCACGGTATGACTTCTTTTTATTTTCCCGATATTTCGGAACGGTTGCACGCTCCATGGTCACGGGTTGACTGGACGGCAGCAGATAACAGCTTTAAGAGGAGACATACCTTCTTGCGCTGTCGACGACTGCTACCTTCATCGTGATTTCTTGTGGCGTTACCATTGTCACTTACTTTTTTCACACAAACTACACTCACTGTATCCACACGCGAAACTGAACTCGATGTGTCTTTGTTGTTCAAATTTAACGAAAGCATTTCACCTCTAAGGGTGGTAAATTAGGAGTTGAATTCGGTTTATTGGATTTCAATAAAACTTGGCAAATACTAATTTTTTTTAAATAAAAAAGTTATAACCATGTATATGACCATAGGGTATAAATGATACGGTTCTCCTTCAGAACTATTAATAGCAGTAGATCTTCTTGTGAATGAGTTCGTCCAGAGAAGTACTGCCACCTTATCTATTTCGGCCGCCAAGTTAACATAACTGCGTTTCGCTTTTCAAGGGCAAGAGTGCTGTTGAAATTACAGGCACATATGACTTTTCAACTTATATCTCATGGTGTCGGAGGTAGAGCCCCTAAGATCTTTGAGATTCAAAGATCTGAGTGGCACTGCAAGTATCGGCGAACGACCTATTCATTCCGTCACTTGGTATATCAAAAAAAAAAACTGTGAGCACACTTGTTAGGGTCTGAAGTATGCAATAAAATTTTTGATACATTTTAGTGTAGGTACATTGAGCTGTTAGCGTTTTCCCTATTGTACATAGTTTGCTGTTACTTGGGAGGTGAATGTCTTTTAGTACTTGGCCGGAGATGCGCCCATAGTACACCACCGGCTAAAATCCGAGCTGAAGGCTGAACCCATGTAATAAAGTAAGCAGTAGTTCCTGAACACTTCCACCAGAAAGACTTGGTATAGGGAATACTATTCTAATCACTTAATAAAATTATACTTTACAGAAAAAACAGGCCAAGTTCATTCTTTCAACTGTCTTAATATCCGGCACACTTACGAAATCGCTAGAATGACAGCCTCCGCTCCACACCCATCAACACGACGAATAGGGAACAGTTTGTATGTGAATCAATGAATATAATTGCTACCTACATTTGTATTTGTAAACCAATTATTTTTCAAAAAATCTTCGTCCATTTATACATTGTTTAGGAATAATTTTAAAAGCAACACTATTATTATGTCACGTCAATTTAAAACGTCAATAATCGTAAGATATTTGGTTACTTACTATCTCTTCAAGATATTAATTTATACTGACTGTTAGTTTTCTTTACAATAACTTCAATGTTACGAATTCACAGCTGAGTAAACGCTTGGATATGTAAAAAATTGAGAGCCACTTACAAGATAAATTTTTAAAGCCTTCACCGATTGCGTCAAGGTTCAAGTCAATCTTATAAAAAACGAATTGTAGAACTAATTACGGAATGAGTCAATAGGTAGGTCCCACATACCAATTACTCCGTTTCTAATAATAAAATGTCTTTAGTACATAGTAAGAACAATTGTACTTGAAATCATCGCATCTGTTATACTCTTTTATCATAATCATAATCTGCTTTCCGGTTTTAAAGGGTATCTAAGGGTGCTGGTGAAATTACAGACACATGGGACTTATCAACTTAGGGCTCAGGGCGACGTGTGCGGTGACAGTACCCCTCTCTCAGATCTTTGCGATTTAAAGCACTGGGTGGTACTGCAAATGTTATGAATAGGCGTGTCGCTTATCACTAGGCCCACGTTGTTCGTCCGGTCACTTCGTATAATAAAATAAACTATTACTTACTCGTAAACCGAATCGAAGAACGAATAGGAAACGAGAGAAAAGTTTAAGGAGACTGGTATCATGACTGTGGCATCACAGTACATTTACTTAAATATTTTGTGTGCCCGTAAAAATATACATAGTTTCATTACGAAAGTAGATATTTATAATATTAACCGTAGAACTAAGTCCAAACTCGTGGTACCACGATTTTGTTCGACTGAGGTAAACGATTCTTTTACTGTATACGTTTTTACAATCAGATTCCGGAGAATATATTAAGATTATTAAAATTAAAAGTATTTTAATTGAAACGTCATATTACGAAATTGAAGAGTATGTTTTCGATAAATAAGTATGGAAAGACAACAAGAGTCTACATTCCACGCAATTATGATTCAAAGTGTATTCCATAGCATTTAAGTTTATTTGAAAAGACATTGAAAAGAGCAATCCCTAGAGTTTCTTGATCGTTCTTCTCAGGGAGGTCAGCGTAGTGAACGAGCAGTAGCTTAAAAAATGACGTTTTGAAGTGTAAAAATGTTACCTATGGAATAAATGGTTGTTTGACTTTGCTAAGGGTTCTTTATCTAATTTATCGTTTACAATATTTATCTCAAATATCATAGATAAAAACAGAAAGAGCTAAACGGGTCACTATGTCTAGTATATTAAAGTTTTCCCCAAGGTTGCCAGGAAGTTGGGTCTCTGCGTTTTATTCTTAGGTGCAATAAAGTATATTTGTAGAGATCTAATATAGAATAATTGAAACAAAAATTGAGGTTGAAGTTACAATTTCTATTTACTTGAATAACAAAAATCCATGTGAGTGCTCCATTTAGTTTTAAATATTGTAAATGATAAATGTGTACTAACTTATTCACAAAGAGCAACCCCTAGACTTTCTTGCTAGTTGTTTCCAGGAAAATCTGCCTTACGAATGATGATTTAAAGTGGGGATTTTTTAGTTATGAAATGAACATATATCGAATTGAAAGTATATACGAATAAACTTTTGTATCGAATCATTAATAGGCGTCTGTCGCTGTAAATCTAATTTCAAGGTCACCTAAACCCAGCTGAATGAAGACTTCCTGTTGTTTTTTTCAGCGTCTGGGCGAGGCTTAAGTTATATCATGCGCTACGCACCATTACGTACTCATGGCGTTATGGGCTTTTCATCAAATGTTGCAAGCAAGTTTGGGAAGTAAGGAGGATCACACACGGTGCGCGGTTTTATTGTCCGTGAGATTTTATGAATAGACGTAGAAGTGCGCAGTTTTGTGATAGGGAAGGAACGTAACCTTTGTCGGCCGTTACTCCACTGTGTCCACTGTGTCCCTGCGGCATAGTGGCGCGAAATAAGGCGTCTAAATATTCTGCTATGTATGTGAATTGGTTTGTAGTATATATATAGTGATTGATCTCACGATTATTTAGAAAAAAAATTCTTCAAATATTATAATTAATTAAAATGACTTCCTACGTCACAAATTTCTCGAGAAAGGCAGGCAGTATGATGCTGTGATTACGCGGTGGCTGACCGACATTGTGTTTTTTCAATCATCATCAACAACAATCCATCGGGCATCCCACTAAGGGGCACGGTCCTTTAAGGCGGGTTGTGGACTTCACACGTTCTCCAAGGATGGTGAATCTTCTTCGACAACTGGTTTCATCATCGATGTTTTCCTTCACTGTTTAGTACATACTGTACATGTATTTCATAAGGGCAAATGCCTTGAACTTATCCTAATTTTTGTCACCCTTGAAACGAATTTATTTTAACAGCCGCCATATTTGTATAAGTACAACTAACGAAACTATAACTAAGGAAAATTCTTAAATAATAGTGTATATACAATAGTTGAATAACTTGATTTGTACAGTTATAATAACTAACTTAGTTGTAACTTGAAAATTCAAAGTCAGTTTAAAACTTGTAATCCAATAAATTACTTTTTTATACAACTAAGTAGAATCATTATTAAGGAATTATGTATATAGTATGCAAAGCCTATTCGGCACGCTGTGGACGCGACTTTACATTTGTTGTTAGTATGTGTGCTTATAGAGCAGCTTCTTGCTTAGGAAGTACAATAAAAATTGGCTAAAAATATGTGGAGTCGTGTTTTGAAATGTTTTGGTAAGCGATTTACATTCACTATTACATCTCATGAAAAAATAGAAGGAAATTGAAACTTAAAATCGTAATATGTATGTCACTATTAATTGGGCGCGAGTTAGGAAGGAGAAATGCAATTTAAAGTTTTTTAGATACCTCATTAAGTTATTAACCGTTAAAGATAATTTAATTTCAAAGGTATATTTATAGTATATTATTTATATAAAGGTATCCTTTTACGATAGACATTGCTTTATAAATCCTTAACCATTGTGTAATAAGAGCGACATTGGCCCATATGGACAACGACTGCTTCCTAATTGAGTACATTTCTAGATGTTTAGTAGCAATATCTATCGTTAAAGGTAAAGAAAAACATTATGATGAAAACTTCACATCGAAGAATGTTCAAAACCTTCGATAAACCCGTGAAGTCTCTACACCATATTGGACCAGTGTCACGGACTATGTTGTTTACAACATTCTACTGAGACACTCTACTGAGAGGAAACCCTTGACCTGCAGTGGAACGTATAATGGGTTAATGATGATGAAATAATATATCGTTCTTAATTATTTTCATTAATCTCTCTCCTCAATAAACCTGGTTATATCATCGTAATTACACATATAACAAGAAAACTAAACAAGAATATAACAGAATCAATGAAAGAAATGATTGAATAAGAATTGTTAAAGCCTATTAACTAATAGTCCAAATTTTAACTTTACCAAGCCGTCGGCATGTGATCTTTAAATACAACCCACTCCACCGATCCAATAGGCATAAGAACGAAGGAGTGGCGTTCCACGGGTGATCAAGCATCATTCCGCAACGAAAACGCGCTCCGGCCGAGCGGGTCCCCCAGTCGCACCATGTCCTTAGCGGAGGGAGCGTCGGATTCCGAGCACCACAGGACCGACGAGGCCAGCAACCAAGGGACCAAGAAGAAGCCAGAAAATAAAGCCCGAGGACAGGTATTTTGGCGAACAGTTTCTCTTTTTTGCTAAACTGGTTAGGTTGTTCTGTTCCTTTGGGGGAAAATTCTTTTGGTACCTTAACAATTCTTTATCTTTTTAAGATTTGACTCTTACTCCAATTAAAATCTAATAGTTCTTAGGAGATTACTCCTGATTCCTGTCACCTGCTGTGTGTGGTCATAGATTTATTCTTTCTTAGAAGTCTTGACATTCGAAACCCTTAAGTGATATTTTTGCGCCTGTAATTAATCAGTATTCGATTAAAATTGTCAAGTTTCTTTTATCCCATAAACCACACTCTTAGGCTATTTTATATCCTTTCATAAGAAAAACATTTTACAGCTGCTTGTGTTTCTCCGAGTTTATCTGTCCTGTCTTGCAGACGCTTAGGATTCTCTCAAATCGTCTACAAGTTTTTAAAGAAATATCCCAATGTATTCCCCGCACACCTACCAAGCCTACAGGCCTCCAAGGCCTTCCAGTCATGAGGACTTCTACCGTTCCCTAAGCCAAGAGAATTACCGTACAATTGGCAATTACGGATATCTGTCCCGCGACAAATACCGGACTCCGGTCTGTAATAATTTCGGGTCTTTACCCCGTAGCCAGTACCGATCCCCTAGCCGTGATGTCTTTCGAGCCATAACTCGTGATAGTTATCGGTCCCCAAGTTACGATAACAATGTTTACCCGATCTATCGTGCTGCCAGTCGGATCCCTGTCCGTAATGCTCCGACAAACTGGATTTCTCTGAGGAAGAGGGTAAGTTTTCTAACACTGAATTTTTGTTATTTAAAATAAAATTAATGTTTTTGGTTTTACGTTGTTCTGGTTCAGTTTTTTCTTTTTCTGATGGTAAGCTACACACCTGTCTATAACAATTGCAGTGTCCTCAGAGCTTTAAATCACAAAGGTCTGAGGGGCACTGCTACTGCGCCCGTCACCCTGAGACATAAGTGGGGAAGTCCCATGTGCCTGTAATTTCACCAACATCTTTACCCTTCAAAACCGGAACACGGTAATACTGACATTTATGTTTGACGGCAGAAATAGGTAAGGTGGTAGTACTTCTTAGAACGAACTCTTTCACAAGGATTGATTTTTATGTTTTCAACTAGATATGATTTTTAGTCACTGGCCCTTGAGCACAGTGGGTGAACGGTTGCTTGTAAATTGAGAGGTCCACGGTTAGCACCCTATGTCAGCATGTACCTGTGACTTTTTTTAGGTTTGTGAATTTGTGAAGCTTTACTTCTAATTCCTCACATTAAGGGTCATGGATAATATTGTGATGGAATCTGCATGACGAAGAAGGTCCCCAATCCGAGTTAAGTCAGTGGGCAAACTATAGTCCAACCTTCTTCTCTAGTCTAGCTAATCCTAGTCTAAACTCCTTAAGCACCACCTGTGCTCAGCTGTGGGATGATGCGTGAAATATATAACATAAAAGACTAAAACAAATTATTGCACAGCCGTGGTAGTCTAGTTGGTTTGACCTATCAAGATGAGTGGGTTCAAATCCGGGCTTGCAACTTAAACTTGAAATTTAATTTGAAATTTACTATCAGCCTTTCGGCCAAGGAAAACCTCGTGAGGAAACCGACCCACATGCAAAGCAATTAATGATATGTGTGAAGTTCAGACATTGACCATAATAGAGGCTAACTATTATTATTATCACTAAGCATACAATATTACTTGATGGCATCCTAACGTGGAACATGTTCCCCTAAAAAAATTAGTTATCACTCAGTCTTGAAAAGGCCTTAAATAATAGGTTTATGTTTCTTAGGCCATAAGTATTTTCTCTTTATAGGAGACCTATACCCAATAGAACGAAAAAGTGAAAATAGAAAATAGTAACGTATAAACTTATTAAGTTATATATATAATAATAATTAGACATAGTAGCTATTACATTAAAATGTTTTAACATCGAACTAGTGCAACCCTTTTTGAAAAAATAAAAACATAGTGAACAAAATTATTTCTTTTTAATTTTGTGATAGAGCAAGAACGGCTGAAATTAAAATTAATAAAAGTTCGAGCCATTAATTAGTACATATAATACCAATAAATAATAAAAAAACTTAAAAAACAATAATAATAAAGAAACTTTTTCAATTAAAGTTTACGAAATTTACAAAAACGCGAAATTAACCTCGATTCGGTAAATCTATGGATATTAGTAGGAAATGAAAACAAAAGAATGAAAAAAAGAAAAATAAGTAAAACCTAAAATAAAATAAGTAAAATAATTCGCCACACTTTTGAAAAACACTGTTATATTTTGCGGATTTCACTGGTGTGTATTATATTTGTGAGTTGGTACAATATAGTAATAATTTAGATCTAATAAACTTAGCAATAAAAACTAATCTCGCTATACCTAATTGGGGTAAAACCACAAAACTGGTCATATAATTTTATCTTGTAGAACACCATAGGCACAAAATTAACCAATTAATGGTATTATAGTGTGCCACGGAGTGGTGTAATTTGTCACTCCATATTTGGCTTACTTGTGGGAACGGGCAATTGGTGGCAATACGATTGTCCGCCCACAATATAATTATTGGTTTGTTTTTACAAATTTGTCGGTTTCGGTAGCTTTTATTGATCGCGGACCAATTTAGAACTTAAATGGGATCATTTTTGCCATTTTCTTCACCATTTCCTGGTACCGAACAGGACTACTACATAACGGTACCCTTGGTTTAATAAAACCACGACCGTACGACAAAAAATGCTTTTATCACATGAAAGTAATTAAATTGTATTCTCTCCTATTTAAGCATAAAAAGTTAGCGACAAATTTTTTATGTGATACCAAGCGAGCGACAGGACGAACAAGTCGTGCGCCTGGCGATAAGCGACACGCCTGCCCATAACAGTTGCAGTGCCACTCAGAGCTTCATATTCAGTCACTTTGAGACATTGACAAGTCCCATGTACCTGTCATTTCACCAGCACCTTTACCCTTACAAACCAGAACGCAATAATGTGAACATTATTGCTTGGCGGCAGAAATGGGTAAGGTGGCAGTATTTCCCTGAAGGAACTCTTTCACTAGGAGCTTTACTGCTTCTACGTGTCTTGAAAAATTGTCAATTTACAGATCTCAAAAATATGCGTTTCATCAGGGAGATGGTTTAAAAAACAGAGACGTGACACAGACGTGAAAATTGTCCCATCGTAGACTATGTCAACGTTGTTATGTGATTATTTTAACCAATGAAGAGCTCGATGTCCCATTCACACTAGCAATTAGCATATTCTGAATAAGTCTTAGTAATAAGTCGAAATAAGAGCAATAGACTTTTGCCTGAAACTGTCATTGTAAACTGCCGACTGTTGTTTTATTGTGGTCTCTAACATCTGCTATACTCATAATTTCGGTTTTTTGGAAAAAATAGTGCATAGCTGTGCGTTATTGCAGGATATAATATAGGTGTCAATTTCCTTAACATAAATCATTCATAATAATGAAACTGCGCACGCGCATATGCGCCCGATGCGCAATGGCGCATAACGCCATTACGGCTATTATGTCGCAATCATTGATTCCATTGTCTTCTTATTGTTTTTCTAAGCATTACACGCATGCGCATGACGAGGATTGGCTGAATTATTCTGCTACCTCTTATTGTCAAACACGTCTTGAACTCTTGACTTATCATCCATTCCACGCTTGAGAGACGATGTTACACTTTCAAAACGTGATAATTAATAGGCTAGTTCTTTGTCGTGCCATTATTTCTGAGGACTGTTCACCCAAACAATAGTATTTTGTGATTGTATAGAATTGTACTTGTATTGGTAACTGCGGAATGCATGGGTCATTGCTGGTTTGTGTCTTATCTAACATGTCATACGCAACGTGTTACTGTAAATGGTTACCTTCCAGGTCCTATAGCTCATTCTGGAGTGCCACAGGGTTCACATCTCGGTCCTATACTGTTCAACTTATATATTAACGACATTGCTGACTATATACTTAAAAGCGAATATTTGAATATATGCCGCCGCCGTAGCTGAACGGTTACCATGCTGGTCTGCCACGGTTCGATTCCCGTGCCGGCAGAAATATTTGTATGCACTACATTTATTTCTCTCGTGAGTTTGTCAATATGTGTCCATGACACCCGCGATACAGGGTTTCCCTAGCGCGGCGCTATGAGTGTGATTTTGACATTAAAGTAATATTGCTCTTATGTCAAATTTAGCAATCTTAAAATAGTTACACGGTTTCAGTGGAAACAATATTATTTTCAGTTTTATTGTCTTAATGAATGATTAAAAGTTAAGTTGAACTTATTTATTTACATATAATAATACATTACTTGGTTGACAGGTTCGCCATGGTACGAATACGAGTAATATTCCAATAAGCTTACTTTAAGCTTACATTGAAATAAGATTGTTTTTGGAAAGATTATGGTAGGCCCCCTGCACTAATTTCGTCCGTAGAATTTTTAAATCTCCCTTCAAATTTGTCAATTTGCAAATGTAGCATTATTACAGTCAGGGTGCAATATTCATCAATCTTATCATACAAGCTCTCGAACTTTTCTAAAAATGTTCTCATCCGATGGAACATTCTCTGTTTCGTTGTAATAGTACATTGGTATTAAGGGCGATAAATAAGGAATTGCGAAAGAGATTGTATTAGAAGCCCGAAAGTCGAATATTGAGATATTTCGGATTCGAGGTTCGTAATTCCCGGACCACCGGTGAAATATACAATGTTTTTCATTACACTTACACGTAAATGGTATGATTGCATGCAGCCTGACCTGAGTGCAATGCCCCAAATAAAACCCTCAGAAAGAAACTCTAAAGCGAAGAAAAAAGGCCCTAGGGTTTTATTTGGGGCATTTTAGTCAAGTTAGCCTGCATGCAATCATACTATGATGATGAAAATATACTGTCCCAATGCTGGGCAATAGTCTCCCCAAAATCCTCCATTGCTCCCTATCTTTGGCAGTCTCCCATCACTCCCTCTCAAACCCATCAAGATCGGGATGTTTTGCCAATGCTTTCTCGGCCGTCCACACCGTCTCTTTCCATCCTCGGGCACACAAGGACTGGCGATGTTTGTTTAGTTGTCAGGTTGCAGCCGGCTAACGTGGCCCGCCCAATCCCATTTAATCTTGGCTGTTTTGCTTCCCACATCAGCAATGCCAGTCATCGAACGGAGCAGTGTACTCGGTCAATACGTTTAAAGCCTATTATATTCATAATTTATTTAAATTGTAAATTAGTTGAATAAAAATACGAGACAGTGATTTATATATTTAACCTTTGCCCAAAGAGAAACCATTTAAACATACTAGCGCTAACGTTTACGATCGCGACGCCCTTCGATGTTTGTTAACGCATCGTAAAAATCGCATCGATGTTATATTTTACAAGGAAATTGGCTGTTGATACTATATTTGATGTTTTGAGAAAATGTTTTATATGCCATGGGTATTTGGTTTGGCCCAAAATATCAAGTGATAGCCATATACATAGATACAAGCCAATCCATGACAGTTGCATTGCCCCTCAGAACTTTAAATCGCATAAATTTGAGGGGTGCTGCCACTACGCCTTTCACTCTGAGACATAAGTTGACAAGTCTCATGTGCCTGTAATTTCACCAGCACCGTTACCCTTCAGAACCGGAACACAGTAATGCGGACATTACTGCTTGGCGGCAGAAATAGATAAGGTGGCAATACTTCCCTGGACGAACTCTTTCACAAGGAGCTTCACCGCTACTAGAACAACTTAATCTTTGACGTGTGCTGTCTGAGAAAGAAATTAAAATTCTTACACTATCTTCACAGTACATTATTGTTTTTCATGAAAAGTAGTCATAGATATTCGTAATATTGATGCAAGAATAATGCAATGAATAAAATAAACGGGCTGTTTTTGGCAGTCACCTTCATAAAGTCACAAACTCATTAAAGGGGCAATATTGGATTCCTTTGATAAACAATTCAAGGGTTTAATTAAAACTGTAGTGAAACAAAGTCTTTACAAAATAGTACAGTTAAGGCATAGTTAAGGAAAAAAAATTAGAACGACGAGGGTCTATGAGAAGCCCGACACCTTTGCTGCGAAGAGAAGAGGGCTTTGAATTTTTTTACCGGCCGTGATACATACAATGTTTTTAGTTACATTTGCGAGAAAACAAATGCAGTGATTATTTCTTGTATGAATAAATATAGTTCACAAATGGCGGGCTTTTTGTTTTTTTTTTCAACAGATGGCCAGCTAGCTATCGTCCATAGATAAAATAACTCGAACTAAAATATTGTAAAAAGCGAAGACGCATACAGCCATGATGGATTGTAAAAATAAAATTTGCTAAATTTTTATACAGAAAACAATTAAGAAATTCTTAATAATAAGTATTTAAGTAGTATGTGGCCAATTGTAATTAAATTTCTGCTTAGATACATTTTAGACGAATGTTTTAATTTTGAACTCAAGTAACCTTAAAAAAAAATACAAGCAAAAAATACTGTAGGTGTTCTCTTCTGAAATGAATAAGAATAATCAAGTCAAACTCCAAGTTAATGTGGTGTTTAGAACTTTTATAACAATTTTTAGAGGATATTTCATCACAAAAATGTAATGGAGGGGCCTTATTTGAAAATTGCTTTAAATTCACGTTTTTGCGGTACAACATATGGTATGTCATTAAAAGTAACTAAAGTAAACCAATGCGGTTTCTGTGTTTAAATATAAATAAGCGTTATTTAAAAAAACACGATTTGATGTTCTTTTTTTAATTTTTATCTAAGTGCCACAGAAAAATTTATTTATTTAAATACCATTCACATGAGTCGCGACTCACAAATATAATGTCTGGAACAGAGTAGACCAGTCACGTGGGTAGTCACACTTATGCACCTTTGGAAAAATCGTTTTTGGGGTTCCTTTGTCGACACAAGGAAACAACGCTATTAGGGGCTATCATCCATTAGGTTTTCATTATAAGGGACTCAGGGTCACTACGGAGACCGTTAACATTTACCCCAGGCTTGTTATGCCACTGTGTCGATGGAAATTGTTTTAGAATTTTACAATCTGCGATTATTTATTATTTGACTGCCTCAGTGGCCGAACGGTTACCATGCCGGACTGCCACGCAGAGGTCCCAGGTTCGATTCCCGGGCCGGGAGAAATATTTACATGGCCTACATTTATTTCTCTCGTGAGTTTGGGTGTAATTTGTGGTTGTCTATGTGTGTGTCCATAGCACCCGCGACACAGGGTTTCCCTAGTGTGGGGCTATGTTGAGTGTTGAGTGTGCGTTATTATTATTATTATTATATTTAACAATTTGGTGTTACTTGTTTGCCAATTTATAGTAACATCGTGATGAAATCTGAATCTGGAAAACGTATATAAGACCCCAACCCGCATTGGGCCAGCGTGACGGACTATAGCCTAGCCCCACGCCTGAGAGGTGACCTGTACACGCTAGTGCGGTGTACAATTGGATGATGATTATATCTTAATCTTGTTAGACCTGCGAGAAGGAAGTGAATAACCCCGTTGTGGTTTTACTTTGCTTGTATCTAGATTATTGCCAAAGCCTAAAAACTTACTTATGTTTAAGCTAAAGTTAAGTCAAGTAACAGCGGTGGCAACGTGAAATGAACTAGAAAGTGTATAAGAAAGTTATCTTACAACTTAATGAGCTGATGTACATATGTAAATGTACTACAGAACCAAACGGTTCGTCAGTGAATTAGGCTTCACGAAATTATTCCGAAGAAACTGAAACAAGCGTATTTATGACTAAGAGCGCGTGATAGCTTAGTAGTGAAAAGGAGCGGCTCCCGTGACGACGTGGCTTGGTTCTGAACTTGTACTGAGTTGAGTGAGAAACACATAAAACTAAAAATAATGTACATAATAAAGTGACGTATATTATTAAAAATGAATGTATTAAAAAGCACCAAAGTTTCTAGTACACCTAAGACAAGTATGCCGGTCAAGAGTGTGTCTGCGAAACCTACACCTGAGAAAGGTGTAGAGAAAAAAGTTGCAAAAAATGTAGTTGACAAAAGTGGAAAAAGTACGCCTAGCGTGGATAACAAAGTGCAAGACAAAATCGCGGTATTGGGTAAATACAAATCAAAATCTATAACTGACCAATGTAATAAAAATGCCACTAACGGGGTTGTTGACAAAAACAAAATGGTCAAACCCTCAGACAAAAATGCACCCGAAAAAGGTGCACTTGACAATACATTACCTGAAAAATCTGAAAAACCTGATAAAGAAACACTGAAAAGAATTTTGATGGAAAAACTTAACCCTGACTATGACGACATAACAGAAGAAGACTGGCCAGCCAAGACTGTAAATGAGCTAGAAGTTTTTAAGCAATGTGAGAATGATGAACCGGAAATCCCGTTTGGTCAAGTTTTATTGGTCTGCTGCTGCCCTGATGGTAATAATAACAATGCTGTTAAAAATGGAGAGGTACATACGCGTTTTTATTTTAATCATACACCCTTGGTCAAGGTCACGAATCTGTGACTTACCAAATGTTAGAAGAATTTTTAACGAATTGTTATACCTAATTATGTTATAAGACTTCAAGACTTTCAATGTTGGTGGTAATTTTACGTTTAGATTCCAATTGAAATTCGTCCTCTATAACAAACATGTCTGGAATTGTACAAATGTAACTTGGAGTTGAAGTTTCTGTTAAGTATTTTCTAATAAGGAACTTGCTGAAGCTGCAGACGTTAATTTTAACGTTATAAATAAATTATTTAAACTTTATATGCAAATAAATAACTATGAAAAAAGAAAAATTATTGCTAAGCCAACCAATAAAGCTGGGATCATTGTATAACATTTCATCACTGCGTTGTATTTATGTAGAGTGATAAAAAAGCGGCGGGCAAGGGACATTATCATGACGTTAATGGTGTGCTGTATGAAATCGCTATGCGACATTTTGTCGGAATTCAATGTAGATTACGTATTTTCTATGCGATTTTATGATTAATAGCTTAACTGAACATGAACACCCAATATTTTCAATCTTTACGTGTTTGCATTTGCTTCAAAACATAAATATAATTTGAAAAAAAGTACCTAGATATTGTATACCTAGTAAAATTGATTAAAAATGACTAGAAAGTGAGATTGTTTCGTATCTAAATTGCATATATTTATCGAGTACTTACTTACTTTTCGTGATTATTGCACATAGCAAAATAAATTGTTTTTTCAATGAAACGTTGGTTTGTTTGAAAAAAAAAAACACATATAAGCGATTTACAACCAAAAAATAGCTTAATTTTTCTTAGTGTATATTTGTTTTTTGAAACAAACCGATGCGTAATAATTTAACTGTCTCCGTGGCCGAACGGTTACCATACTGGTCTACCACGCAGAGGTCCCGGGTTCGGTTTTCCGGCTGGAGAAATATTTATATGGCCTATGTTTTTAGATATAAAAGACAACCACAAACTAGTAGTTTGTGGTTGTCTATGGCACCCGCGTCACAGGGTTTCCTCATTGCGGAGTGTGTACGTTATTATTATTAAATTGCGAAAGCCTAAGAACTCGATAAAAATTATTTAGCAAATCTTCCATACCAGACAAGACAATGTACAGTAGTCTATACAAAACCAAATTCTTACCATAAACTCCTAGTATTCATTATATTCATCATTATAACTCTAGGTGTAACCTAATAAGTTTATACCCAAACCACATACATTATGAAAATGTTTATAATAGCAATTTAGATTCTTTATTATTTTAATTATAATTAACACAAAAATCGAACATTTTATTTTTTCGAGATTGCTGGATTCTAACCAGCGCCTTCAAGCATACCGTGGCAGACGATCTCCCAACTGAGCTATGGAATGACCCAGATAGTTTTCGTTTTTAACGACTTTTTTTTGATATCTATTTCTTCACTCAGGCAGTCACTCTATATTGTTTACTTTTATAAATCGACGTGAAATCCGAAGAAAAGCTCAAAAAATGCGTAAGGTTTCGTAAAATGAGTTATGCATCACATTATAGGTAATCACTTTGATGCTTTTTTATCTGGTGGAATTCAATAAGCAGACATGAGTATAACACAGAAATTTAGTTACAAACGTACGTATATTTCAGAAAAATTCACACCCTTGTTGATTTTTGCTTCTGATTTATTAATTCAATTGCACGATCAATTCGTAATATCAAAGAAACTCTTAAAAAACCGAAAGTGACATTTCCAATTTTACAAATAAATGTATATAATGATGAGTATACCTAATTGGCATTAATACTAAAATACACAATCCCCTTGTCCAGATGTCAGAGCCTTACATGTGGAAGGAGCAAATTCACACACTGATGAAGGGTGGAGAGAGCGAGTCCGACATTTCGGACTCTGAGCACTTCCTCACCAAAGGGGCTTTCCTTATCACTCCGTCTCATGGCCTCAGCATGGAGAAGGCCTCCACCATTTGTGAGAAAATGGAGTTTAAGGGCTGCTTCTCATTGACCAAGACAGCAACGGGCATCCTGTTCAAGTTCTCCAACGTTGATGATTACCAGATGGTCTTCAAGAAAGGCTTTCACAAAGTTACTGGATCCAGGTTTTATAGGAAGGTAAGGTATTTATCAGAGTTATGTTCATGGTACAAAAAGCTGCATTAGTGCAATTTAACAAATCCATATCTGAATATTAGCTAGCTTCAGGTGTTGTTAGCCCTCGTTACGAGTGTATCTTTACTACATTGTGGTCTCTATTTACTAATTAGTATCATTTCTTAGGTTGAACTGCATTCTCATCCCCTATTTTTCAATTCTAAGCAAAATGCTACTTGGCAATAAGGCATTTTGTCCACGAGTCTCAAGAGCAGTGTAAGGAGGAAACTCGAAGATAAACGTGACGAGATACAGGTAGGCACGAAGGTTCGCCACGAAGATTGGTTACATTAGTTATCTACCAATGGGCCAGGGTTAACTTAACTAGGAATCGAAGTGGTCGCCATGACCGAACACGGTCGGTTATAAGACAAAATTTATTAAATATTTCCAAATTAGTACTAATTCTGCTGTTGTACCATGAACATAAATTCTCTGATGTAAACATGTGTGTTTGCTTCTCTATTCTGCTTGTATGCTTCTGATCTTTTGACGTTATATTACTTCCTACACTTTCCTTCTTCTGTAAAATTTGTGTGTCTGTCTCTTTCTTGTGCCGTTATTTATATTTTTTAATATAACTTTATTCCAAACTCAATTTGTTTTCGTAATATTTATTTATTATTATTAAATACATCGTCGGTGTCTGGAAAATGCTCAACGAGAACATTTCCAACATCAACATCAACATTTCACTGCAATCATTGTGTTTACTTTTATTTTAGACGTACGTTCAGGAGGAATATTTCTTGTTTGAGGATCTAGATAGCACAATATATAGAGTTCATTAATACATTATAGTTTCAGTTTGAGGTAAGGAAATAAAACACATGACCAGGATAAAAAAGGATATGTTTTGATGGTTTGGTTTTGTAGAAAAAATGGATGTTAGCATTCCGCACAAATTTACCTATGGAGCGAATATGGATGGAAACGTGGAGAGAAGTAGACTTTGACGTACTTACCTTAATCAGATTAGGGATATCATTAAAAAGGCCAGGTAAAACTATCAAGAATAACCGGGCAAGGAACGGAACAGATGAAAGAGGTACCTCAGGAAAGTTGTGAGTGGAAGTGCATAGTCTCTGACTATCGTAGTGGAAGACGGGCGTAATTGTATGTACGTGTATATTTAAAACAATATATTAACAGTAAAAATTCCGTATCTCAGTTGTGACCAAGGACTTTGTTGCAAATAAACATTTCATTGCAAACGGAAATCTCAAAACGGTACGAAGAAAATCGAAATAATACTCGACAAATTTATATTTGCAGTTAGTAATGCGTGGTCAACAATTACCAAGTTTTATTACAGATAAAAGATAATTGCCTTAAATTGCCACAATTCCGTCTTGGAGACAATAGTATGAATTCAACTAAGTAAATCAAATGAAGGTCGCGTAGAAAGAGTTGATCACCTACTTGATTATACACTAATTAAGGTGGCAAGATTAAAAATACTGGCACACACAGAATTTATTGTTCACTGCTGTTCAATCATTGAACTGCAATTCGCCTCCTTGCTGTAATAAGGCCACATCTACAACAGGACGACTTTTGAGACAGGTTTAAAGAATTATTTCACGCAACTTTTGATGTATTACATGTGGCTTTGTTAAAGGCCAAAGGTACGAATTATTTATAGATAATTCAGAAGTTATTCACCAGCATTGCTGAATTGGCAGCAAATATATTTTGCGAATGTTTTCCTGCGCAATAATGTCGAACATGAAGACAATATTCGTGACAACAAATTTAGCTAAATATTTGTTCGTAATATTGTAATAGGCGCTGCAAATAGATTGAGAAGTGAAATTACGATTTTTGACGACAGTTCAAGATGTCACAGCGAGGACACATGTATCATAACTGGGGAAGAATGATTTTATTCTGTTTTTAGTGATAAAACATGCGTAGTGACTTACATATCGCACCCATATAGCGAAACATGGCCACATCAGCGAAATGAAAACTTTTAGGCAAGACGTTTAAAAGCTTTGCTAACGAAATTAGTCATAATATATATATAGCTCGAACGCTAAAACGTGACAACGAGTGGTGAGCCCCATAAACACCGCTTAAACTCTCCGTAATGTTCACATTCTACTGTTCACAGATTGCCATCCCGTGTCGGCCGCAGAAGACGTTTACGATCTACGTATACGATATCCCTGACGAGGTCCCGGAAGAGGACGTCCGCCACGCCCTCTATAAGTTCACCTCCATTGTCGAGGTCATTCGTTTGCATTTCTCCGGATCCTCTAGGGAAGGTAACGGTACTTACATGAATATCATCCTGTCATTGCGATAGACCGATGGTTCTCAAAGTGGTCCAACATCGATTCCCCGAGGTCCACTCTAAACAACAAAATAGGTGCATGCAAGCGAAAAAAAATAGGGGCATGAGATGTTAATGAGAATTCCCATTTAGGCAGATCGTGAAACAAATCTTGGATTTTCATAAATGAAATAATCCACATTACACAGATAGTAATATGTAGGTAATACTTTGTAATAATAGTCATACAATATTACCTATAACACCTATAACATTTCACAACAAACAAGATATTCTGTTACATGGATCTACAAAAAAATATTTTTCTTTAATTAAGTTTTTACTATAACTTGAATTTATCGAAGTGAGTAAGCACTATGTCAGCTCTCAAAAATACATCTGAAGTTGGTGAATTTGTAAAAAATCTGTACTAGAGGCAGGAGGTCTACGCAAAACAAAAAATGGCACGTGGTGTACGACACACAAAAAACTTTGAGAACCTCTGGGCTAGACCACCTATGTACATAGTTTAAAGTATTAGACATTAGCATCAATTACTTGGAAAACTAGTGGGTACCAGGGCCACTACTCAGAACATCCAGGCAAGAAAGAAAAGAAAGTAATTTTCCTAAACTAGTTCAATAGGAAACTGAACCCGGGATTTCCTTATCAAGAGGCTATGATGCCGCTTAGCCGCTTGTCCACCGAGTTCGTTAACTCAACAACAATGTATAACCTCCTAAGACTTATTGGGAGATATACATTGATGTTGAGTTAACGAAATCATGATAAATCTACCTACCTAATCATCAAAAATCTTGATGATAATGATTGGTCGCAGTTGCTCCAAATGTTTTATATAAAATTTCAAATAAGTGCACACAATTTACAATTAATCTGATGTTTTTTTCTTGATGATTTGATCTCGCTGCTGGGCAAAGGCCGCCTGCTGCAATGCTTTTGTTGCTCCGGTGGGTGGTTACCTGGGCCCACTTGTTTCAAGTACTCCGTATTATGTCCACGTAATTAAAGCCCTTTTGTCATATGTGGTTTTATTATACCAAGGGTACGACTTGCTTTTATTTTGGCATACAACGTTATTGGACATCCGTCTATTTAAAACGTCACGAACTTTCCAGGAACTTCAACCCCAAAATCGTCCCTGGACAAAACTTCTCCTCGGGCCTTGACCACCATCGACGGCGAGCTGGTCAGCAGCATGATCCCAAAAGAGGCCAACAGCGTCATCCGCGTCACGCTAGCCAACATCGAAGAAGCAAACATTCTTCTCCAGAACGGCCTAGACTTTTATGGAGCTACATTCTTCCCCACGGAGTTGGCAACTCCGGGGCAGGCTGCCAAATTGATTAAACCTAGCAAGTGAGTAGATTCGTCATTTAAAAAGATTTAATAAAAAAATAATTCTAGTTAATTAAAAAGAGTACCTACAATATGTACTTGAGATTGTGAAATGAGTCCACTAGTTTTCTTATGATTATTATTACAAAAAATCAAATGTATTTGATTAAAAAGCGACGTCACCGTTAACTTGACGCACCTGTAAAGGTACCGGCTTTGGTGGAAGGTTCTAAAATGTCGCACAAGATGTCACTAGCGGCGCTGAATGCCGAAAACCAGTACAAAGATCTATACCAAAAACACATACGAGAATTTTGACAAATCGATAACTTGATCTGTAGTTCAGCTGGTACAGAGCAGCGTTACGGTACAGCGTGGTCATGAGTTCAAGTCCCATCGGGTCGAAGAAATACATTTTCCTAAGTGAACCCAGTGTAAAATCCACATAAAATTAATAAAATAAATAACACAAACGCAACAATAGTCACAAACACCTCTCTAAGTAGATTCAGGCGTTACTTATAATACTATAAGATATAACAATCTATTAAGTAATGTATTGTAGTACGTTTGTTTATTTTGTTGTTTTATTTGTTTCTAGTTTCTCTTCCTTTGACTTGTACGTAAAATAGACATACGCCTGGCCACTATTTAACCTGATTTTAAGCGACGACGGTACGCATTGTCTAAAATATGCGTATTTACCAATTTTGTGAAGGCGTTGTAACAAAGACTTTATCGGTGCGTAAGAGTCTATATTACCTCAAATGGCTTCGGTTGAATCCGCATAACAGTGAAAGTGTTGAATACATCACTTTGGAAAAAATATATGGTATAATTGAGGATTTACACTTATTACTGTTCGGTGTGAAAATGGTTTCTAAAAATTTTCACGATAGAAATAAAGCACAAACTTGCTCCGAAATTTTACAAAAAAAAAACAACGTGTTCAACAGGTACTTCACATATACCAATGTTTTTTTTTAAATATCAACTGAACTAAGCAGAACACGTATACTATAACTATATAACATTTTTAAAATAGCTTTAATTCGTTTGTAAAAAAAATAAATTCTGAAATAAAGCCAGTGTCCCTTCTTCGGAATCGGAAATTGATTCTTACGGACTTCGAAATACTGATGAAGATTTTCTAATTGCAGAGTTACAGGTGGGACAGTTTCTGCGCGTGTCCGTGACCTTCTCCCGGTCTTCGATCAGCAGGGTTTCTCGAAGTTCGCCCCACCTGCCTCGAGAATCGTTAAGCCCACTCGAGCTAAGTAGATTTGATGCGGACTGGTGAAGGGTACATGGGGAACGGTTTAAATGGCTGTACTCGAAGAAACACATGCGTAGTATAACGTAACTTATGTACAGAACGCCCAAGATATCTGTATCACAATGAATATATATCATAGGCCAAAAGATATTATCATTTTTTTTATTCATAAGGATCTATGTTGAACTTGAACTTCTAAATTGTCAATAACAAAAGTACTAAACTAAACTTAATCAGTAGATTAGTGCAAACACAATTGTGTTCTGAAATGGTTATAGAATCATATTCAGCGACTGTCCGTTCATTTACCTGCAAGCATAGGCAATTTATTTTTATGTTTTTTTTATTAAACACCCATTATTAAGTCCCCGAGGGTGCAATAGGTCAGATCTGCAAAATGACAACTTTTCAGGAGCTTTTTAGTTTCAGGGTTTACAGATTCTACGAAATTAGATGATAACTTATAACGATAACGACTTTACTACTGCCACCAAGGAAGTATTGCCAATGTGATCATTACTGTGTTCTGGTTTTGAAGGGTAAGGGTGCTGGTGAAATTATAGGCACATGAGACTTGTCAACTTATGTTCCAGGGTGACGGGCGCAGTGCCAGTGCTCCTTAGGTCTTTACGATTTAAAGCTCTGAGTGGCACTGCAACTGTTATGGACAGGCATGTAGCTTACCATCAGACGCACGAACGAGTTGTTCGTCCCGTCACTTGATATCATCATAATCTCAGTACAGAGTATTAAAAACACCGACCACAAAAGTCATTTATCTCTTAGTTTGCCACCCTTAGAAGTGGAATATTTTCATCAAAAAATGGGACCACTTCTGAGGCACCCTCTTTCCAACAAAAAAAGAATCATCAAAATCGGGTCACATGTGAGTTATCGCGTAATATACATACAAAACATACAGTCGAATTAAGAACCTCTTCCTTTTTTTGAAGTCGGTTAATAAATAGAAGAGTTATAAAATTGTATCATCTTCGTATTATAAAGGTACTTTTGACGTATAATCATATATGGGTTTATTAGACCACTGTCTTTAGTTCTAAGTTTAAATTTTGGGCATACAAAAAAAGAAAAATTATATTCAGTTGATGATGTAGTTTCGCGGGTTTTATTCGAGGCACAGGTATTGAATAGAACTTCCTCATGCACCCTGACAGTTTTTGTAAATTCTGCCAACGCGATGCGACGAACGAAAAATTAAAAAATAAAATAATCAACATAATACGTCTGAAAAGAACGATCTACTATAAATGACTAATTAATGCAATGTAATGTTCCATAATAACATGAAATTTTTAAAACAATAATAGTTTCATTTACGCTTGTTTTCAATTGCGCTCATACGCAAAATACAGTAAATAATTTTCCAGATTATTTTTGAGTTTGTTTTGTACCACATGGCATTTAAATTTAAATAAATATCGTTACTAATGTGCCATCCTACTTAATGTAGCTATTTTGTACCATTTTGTTACGTATTATTACAATAAACAAAGTTATAATTATTTGTTTTATTTCATTTTGAGGCGAGAATGAATAGATTCCTTACAGACAAACACTTTTCCTCCTCGATTGCGCCTAAACTTGCCACTCCGAGAGATCAAGATCAAACGCTCCTGCAGGAGAAGATTTATTGATTTGGGAATCAACGATTATTCCCTATAAATTTGGCAATTAGGAAAAAAAACGTGAAGTTCATCCTCCTTCAGATTCAGGGGAGATTAGCAATGAGTAAATACGTAACTACCACCACTGCTGAGGTATCCCCATTTCCAACAAAATAAACCGGCTAACAAATATCGGAGTGATTGCGTAATATACCAACAAGTAGAATTTAGAACCACTTTCTTTTTTAAAGTCGGTTAAAAATAAATCAACAACAATTTTGTAAATTAACTTTTATTGACTACTTAAGTATCACAGATTAAAAATATGGTTGCTTAATACAAATACATAGTTTAGAAATGTCTTTTCTTATTATGAATAATAAAATAATTAAAATAATTTACGCAACATGTACATTATTTTTACCACTGCGGAATTTCTCTTCTATTTCTTGAAGACTTTTACCTTTTGTCTCTGGTAGAATAAAGTACAGAATAACGGTACCTACAAGGGCTATGATTCCATAGATAAGGAACGTCACCACTTCCCCAAGGTTGGTCATCATACCTGGAGCGGTTTTTACTACAATAAAGAAGGAGGCAAAAGTTGTAGCCGAACTTATGCCAGAACCTAACCCTCTAACTCTAGTAGGAAACACTTCACCACACATAATCCACGGTAATGGCACAAAACCTATCGATATAGCTGTAATATAAATCAGAAGGCAAGATAATGGCAACCACGACATATTAGTTTCTGCACCTTCAGTTGCGTAAAGGTATGTGGACAAGCCAACCATGGAAAGAGCTGTAAAAATACCACTTATAAAACATAATGGTCTTCTTCCATATAATTTACAAATAACACAGGCTACAACAGACATGACAACTCTTAGTGAGTCTATCACTAACATGGCCACGTAATGGTCCATGCCTTTGCCGACAGCCTTTTCAACTATTTCTATAGAATAAAATGCTACAGCATTCACACCAGAAAATTGGCAAGTTATAAAGAAAACTATCATTATAAACAATGGCTTCATTAACTCTGGGCTTTTCAAACTAACAAGCTTTTCTTTCCAAGTCATTTTGGCTTCAGAATCTATGGCCTTTTGTTTGTCAACTAAACCTTTGAGTTCAATTTTGGCTGCTTCGTCATAACCTCTTAACCAGTGGAAAGATTTGACACCTTCCTCGGTTTGTCCTTTAGAAATCAGCCAAGTAGGGCTTTCAGGGACTAGCATAAGTAGGCCCACAGATAATACAGGGAAAATGCAGCAAATTGTGGCAGTCCATTGCCAAGTCATAAATGTTCCAATGATGTGAGCTACAAGTATGCCTACGGCGATAGCCAAGGACACCCCTGCAAGGAAGAAGCCTCTATATTTCGGATCCGAAGTTTCTCCAATGTAAACCGGACCTAATGGACCCAGTAATCCGACGCAAAGTCCAGTAAAAAATCTCCCAAGAAGCATAAGAGATAAATCCTTGGCGCAGGCGATCAGGATCCAACCGAGGAGGAATGGAGCAGCGACCATGTAGTGCGAGGTCTTGCGTCCAAATTTTTCCATCATCCATCCGGAGATAAGACATCCCGGAGCCATCGGCAGGGCTGCCATTGCGGCTGTAATTGAAAATGAAATATTATTAAAATCGAGTTCAATGATTGTTGAGGATAGGTTGATAGATGTAGCTGATCACATCCATCATAAACATTGTTATAACTGCTTACAATTGCTTGTAAATTTATAATTTTCCTTATTTTAACACAATATAACAATGTTAACGAATAAATTGAATAAGTTAGTGGTTAGGTACAATAAATATACATAGGGTGTAACGAAAATGTACGACTGTATGTCAGTTTTTCGCAATTTTTTTGCAACTTGTATGATTGATTATCTTGGGATTTGTCAAAACATTGCACCCGCAAATTATGTCACGATAATGTTAAAAATGTAATGTCTTTAATATGATTGCTATGGCAATGCAACGGTTCTGAGCGGACGAGGGCGGGGTGATGTTGGAGAGGGAGCGCAGTTACAACCCATAGATATTTCGATCGGGTATAGTACGGTACGCGAAACTTGCGTTTCAAAAGATAGTTGATGAGTAAGCAACTTTATAAGTTTTTTACAGGTGCGCTGACATCGAATAAACCCGATACAAACATCTGTAACAAACACATGAAGAAATTTGTGGCCTGTTCTGACTCGGTCTGTAACTCGGGTAGTTATGAGCGGTACCCCAGCATGGCAACAGATACTGGTTGGAATTCAGTCAGACCGAAAGATCCTTTCTTTGTGTTCGGGTACTCAATATCATTTTCCAATTGGTTCGAATTTAAAATATAATACAAAACAATACAATACAAAAATTCTTTATTGTACATCAAAAAAGGAAACAAATACAATACAATTAAATTAAAAATGAGCGGTGGTACAATGGGCGGTCTTATCGCTTTAAGCGATTTCTGCCAGACAACCTTTGGATGGAACGAATTTAGAAAATTTCATTTCCCAATTTGGTCCTGGAATCGAACCCGGGACCTCCTTATCCAGCGCCCACGGTATAAACCGTTAAGCCACCGAGGTCGTCAAATCAAGTCGTTATTAATTAACCACGAAAATATTGCGAAGAAACCAATACGGTGGACAAGTTTAATCTTTCGAATAACAACGACGAAACTGCTTTGAGTAATAATAATAACGCACACACTCACACACTCAACATAGCCTCGCACTAGGGAAACCCTGTGTCGCGGGTGCCATGGACACACACATAGACAACCACAAATTACACCCAAACTCACGAGAGAAATAAATGTAGGCCATACAAATATTTCTCCCGGCCCGGGAATCGAACCCGGGGACCTCTGCGTGGCAGTCCGGTATGGTAACCGTTCGGCCACGGAGGCAGTTGTAATCATGGCGGAATGTGACCTAAATCATCTTTGGAGGAGACCAGTGTCCAACAATATAAAGATGTACTCCATATAGGGTGCAAATTGTACAGACGCTGTATACTTTCCGCAATATTATTTTGTTTTCAACAGTAAATTTTCCTGTCAAAATATTGTGGGCAAAAGCTAATAACGGAACCTCTGTTTTCTGGCTTGGGTTAACTGCATTGCTAAGTGAGTAGCACCGTCATTAAACTAGGCTAAAAATACAGCTACTCATTACGACTGATTGACGGCGCCGTGGTCAGCGCTGGCGCAGGACCTCGCTAGACCAGACCAGTCTTGAAATTTCCGTAAAATTTGGAACTGTGATTGACTAACCTAGACCAAGTTATTTAGATATTCAGCATTGAACATTCGTGAGAAAAAGTTTTAATATGATACAATGATACGTGTAATTAATTACAAACAATATGTGCTTTGAAAATGGAAGCGAGTCCTTGACTGCAATTGGAGAGATTATGTGTGTACATGTAGTTAATTTTTAATAATAAAAAACATGACATTTCTAATTTATAAACATGAAGTAATAGTTGTTACAAAATAATCGACCGTTTTGAGAGTTAAGAAAGACAATGTAACTTTGAATGAAATCAAGGACACAATACACAAAGAACTGTGAGATTATTGCTTTAAAAAAATTTCACATTTAATTTCATTTCCGCACTATATTATACAATATTATTCTTTTTTGTTCAAAATTGGGGGTATTTAAATAGTAGACTCATTCAAATTTGAAAGAGATAGTCAACCCTTAAAGGTAGAAAAATGGTGTATGAATTTCAGGCACTTTCTGTTAATTGATTTCAATAAACATGGCACATAGATGTAATTCCAATGAAAGGAAAATGTTATGGTCACCTAGAGCTGATCTGATGATGGAAATGGCAGGCTGATGAGAGGAACTCCTCGACAGTGTACAGCAGCCACCTAGTTACGTTGCGATGACAGGTGTCAAAACGGGCTTATTAGATTGTGACAGCTATAATATCGAAAACAGGCTCGTTTCCTTTTTAAATCAACTTCGATTTTTGTAAAAACTTCTAAGCATATTTTTTTATAAAAACTAACAAAGAAACACAATTACAGAGTCTAAAGAACAATATATACATGGAGTTCTACTTTAGCTACAAACAAATATCACACCAAAGCAAGATCATCTTACATTGGTGACAATTTTAACTTATAATATTTTTTTTATGAAAGAACAAGCAAGTTGTAATTATTTTATTTTACAATGAGCCCGCTGACAGATAATGAAATAAGTGCATAAAAGTCAAATGTCATTTGTGGCCATTTACATTTGAGATAGGTCTACAACAACACAGTTCCACTGTTATGTTACTACTGGGAATGTGTACCATATCTGACGCTCAGGGGAAGTTGTAATCAGTGATTTGATGAAGTCATGATGGATGTATAAGAATTCCTCTTTTATCAAATTTCTGTTAACTTGGATGTCATCCAACGTTAAGTAAGTTACGTCTACATTACCTATTTGACCAATACATATTTGCAAAGAGCACACTTTACTTGCGTAACGATGCTTATGCTTCTTAAGTTTATCTGGTTCGGGAACTTATCAGGTATAATTTGTTTTGTTTGATACCTAAGTTTATTATATTAACAATTGGATTTTTTTAATTTATAACAATTGAAATTAGCTTAGTAAAACGACTTACTAGAATTAGCAAAGTTAGTATCTAAAGATCTAGTGAGATCATTATACTCATGCCTGATTTAGTTATGGTAACTTGTGGGGAAATAGCACAGATGCCTTGAAGTTATTCACTTTGCGGAAGAAATGTATTAGAATCCTAGAATAGTAAATAGAAAGTTGTAAACCGCACTTCATAAAATTTAAAATTCTTTACAAATATGTCAAAAAATATCAACAACATTTCACTTAGGCGAAGGACACCTACTACTACATTGACAGACATAAAAATAGAGTCGCACTACCTAGGTCGAAATTACAAATTATGTACCATCTAGAACCTTATGTAACAGTTGTTAAAATTTACAACAGAATTCCTAAGGATATATCATCCCAGATGCAATGAAATTTATTCACCAAACAACTAAAGGCTCATTTGCTAGAAAAATTTTACTACAGTTTGAAGCAATTTTTTGAAGAATGACCAACCTTATCAAAATTAATGTATATATTTTCAATGCGGCGCTCTAACAGGGTCATGTTGATTCTGTTTTAATTTTAAGAGCATTATGTAAAACGTGATAGCAATAAATACTTTACTTTAATCTGGCACCGCATGCTTGAAGATGCTGGTTCGAATCCAGCCGGATCGAAGGAATTTTTCTTGGTTTTTGATCTTTGTATTAATAATTATAACAAACTAGTGGAGTAATTTCACAAAAAAAAAAAAATTGATTATCTTGGTATTCAATAAAAACTTAAAAATTCAGCATTTAATTTTTTTTTCATACGTTTTTGAATCGCAGTGACTACAGATTTGTATGGGAAAAATAATTTAATTCAACTTAAAATTGTTTAGTTACATGCGGAATAGTTTACGAACACGGGTCTTATGAGATAGGTAGTATAACTATGGCAAAACTGCAATATAATGCTTACCAATCCAAGAACCAGTGGTTTCATCATAAGGAATGGCACTCCCCGGCAGTCTTAATTGCGGCAGTAGAATACCGGAGTAGCCCGACGTCAGTCCAGCTGTGAACGTCAGCAGGATCGAAGCTGACGCTGCCAGGCTCTGGAATTTTGAAAAGATGGTTTTTTACATGTGTCCAAAAAACGTGACCACTGTTCTGCCCTTCTTATCATAACCATGGACCAATAACCCAAGAGGAATGCTAATCGTGATACAAGACAGTTATAGGCATTTAGTACCTATAAGTACACTAGATGTCGCCACGAGTATCAAATAGCTATTTCTGTAACTAATTTGTTTTACATTGACGAGCTGCAATTTTATTTTTATTTTATTTTATTTTAAAGATACACAAACAGAATGTAATCATCACAAGGTAACAGATACAGTTTGATGCATTAATAGCATAGACCACATTCCAAAAACAGTGTACACAGCATGATAAAATAAGTCTTAGTATTAGATTAGTGTAAAATTACAATCTCCAAATCCAAAACGAAGAAATTAATAAAAAAAAGAAATTAATAAATAAATTTAGTGATTTGTGCAAATAGTTAAAAATAATAGTAATAATAATATAACAGAACACAAAATGAACAAAAGCTGAAACTCTAGCGATACACGTAATTGCGTCTTGTATGAATTAATAATCAAATTAAAAATATCGAGATGAGCATTACCTTGCTTAAGTTCATCATAAGCTCGACACATTTTCACTATGGGGCAGAGGTATTATTTTTAAATACATTAAGACGAAAAATTCTCGGCACCCGGAGACGTACTTTGGCATTAAAATTAATTTGGCTTAAAAGATTGCCGATTGGGACAATCAATCATAGAATATATGATTTTATGTATGTAAATGAGCTCATTAAAATCTCGCCTTTATTTCAACGCAGAATTATATCATATTTATTATTATTATTAAAAAAAAAACATTTTTGTGACAGTCTGTATATCCATTTATATTCTTTTATAAAAGGTTATTACTTTATATTTAAAGCTTGGAACCACGCATTAAACCTGTACGATGGCAAGCATAAAACGAACAAGGCATATTATGTTCCTGGTCATTGACCTTAAACACTGATTGCAGCGTCTCGTTTACGATTTTCGAGCAATGTGGCAGTGACCGGCAGTTTTGTGCACTACGTAAAAGTGTGTCACTGATGCAGCGAAGCGTCTCCTCATCACGTGCCCTGAGTGCTGCTACTGAGGTACATATTACATATACTAGAATGGAATTAGCGAGGGATAGCACTGTTGGAGAACGGTGGTTTTTCAATGACGACGATTCTAATCAACGTAGCGGCATATACTTTAATTATAATTATAATGCCTAACTCTCGCTTGGAAGGAATATCGTGATGAAGTCGGGTAAGGTCCAAAATCCTTGTAAAGTCCACAACTTGGGCTAGCGTGGAGGATTATGACCTAAATTCTCTCTAAAGAGATCCGTGTTCGGCACTGGGACGTATCATACGTTGACGATGATTATGATGAAATTTACATATACTATTTCCACTTGAAACAGACACAGCGATTAGAGCTATCGACGTTGATAAAAAGGTCACTGGTTCGATTTTAATACGAACAATTTAAAAAAAATCTGTTCTCACTTGTTTTTAATGCGGGTGTTTTGTACACATACCATGAGTTGACCACAAGGCAATTTTCCATGCTAAATTGTAAACAATTTACAACCGCGTAAATTATAGCTATAACTGTCATTGGAAACTCGTGGTAAAGGCACTGATTAGCTCCAATGGACTTCGTTATTCTGGCACCCATAGTGCAGACAATTTCTTGCATTGAGACGAGTAGGTGATTAGTTTTATTATCTGGCACTGGCAGATGGTGAACCTCTAGAGGAAAGTTAATGGCGAAGAACTTACATTTGTAATAGAAGGCGCTTCAATATATTTAATAAGACGATAAGTGTAATTAGCAAAGCTATGAACACTTTTACCACCGCACATCACATATGCTGTCTACGCAAAACTCGGACATAAAATGATGCAGTGTGAGGAGTTGCATTGCGTAAATAACCAGAAGACTTACGTAAAGTTTTGCGTTAAAATCGCAAGCTGGACCGGTTACTTTAATTATATCTGTTTATTTCAATGAAAGAGAAAGAGCGAGTTTGTTACTATTATTACTTGACAACGTAATGCAGAATGCCGCCAACTTGTTTGTGACATGGTAACTAACGGAACCAAGTTAAACATATTTATATGGAAATTGCGTGAGATAGTAGTCCAGTGGGAATACGATTAAGAAGTCGTCGGTTCGTATGTCTGTGGCGGCATGTGCCTATGATTTTAATTTCTAACTTACAATATAGCAAAAAATCGTGATCTGCAAGTCGAAGACGGTTTACAACCCTTGGAACACATGTCCAGTCACCAATCCGCATTGGTTCAGCGTGGAGGATTATGGCTTAATCCACCTCCTTAAAATAATGGGTTGACAACGATAAAGCCGAAAGATATACCTCAACCAATGCACTCAAAATCAATCAACCAGAAGCCAAAACCTAGAAGCATTTGTACTATATAAAAAGAAACGAAAGTGACTCCACGTTCAATGTAATCAATTTTATCTAAACGTTGAGAGTGCTCAGAATATTGACCTACATAAATTATAAAAATCAACCGCACACTAATGTATTTAAGGTGCTCTTGCGATTGATACTGCTATCAATTGAAGAGTGCACTTATAGAACATCGATGGTGTTTGTCAAATGTGAAACTGATTATACAGATAAAATATAACTACTCTCGATGATTAGATTTGTCTGGCTCATTCAAAACCGACGGATTATGCCACAATCCTCCACATTATAGACTTCTTGGGACCTTTAAAGTTGTTTAATTAGTTTAAAGTATTGTTTGTTTGAACTGTCATTACCTGTTTCCAAATCGGCGAAAACCTAGCAACTGTGGTGGATTCAGGAAGTAGGCCAGTGTCGTTCCCATTCTTCTCATTTATAGTCAAGTCCGTCCCGGATTTCGACATCATGATATTTTGTACGTAATTATACATCTTCTCGTGGAGGTCTTCATTATTCGTTTCATCACCTTCATTGGTTGTTTTAAGTTCACTATTGGGTGTCTTACAGTCATCATTGATTGTCTTAGTTTCGTCAGTTGTTTGAGGTTCTTCATTGTTTGTTTTTGTTTCTCCGTTTTCTTTCAAGTTCTTTGTACTATCGTTTTGTTTATTCGATAGTTCGATTTCAGCCTCGTCTAGTTTTCTGTAATTGCCATAGTTCTCGTCTGTGGAGTAAGGTGTGGGTAAATCTTTGGCTTCAGCTGTTTGTGTTACATCTTCTTGCTTTTTTGTAGGAGTCTCTTCCATTCCGTTTCCTAGAAACAAAGATAATGGTGCTGTTATTAAAGAGACAATTACCATTTTAATCTAAGTATCCTATCCAAACGTTTTTACGGTTATGGTGACCACTTGGACTGCTATATGGTTTTAGTAGCTGTAGAACTCCTTGTGAAAAAGTTCGTAACTTTTGTCGCAATACTGCCACCATTCCTATTTTTGCCGTCAAGCAGAAATGTGAGCATTACTGCGTTCCGGTTTTGAATGGTAAGAGCGCTGGTGAAATTACAGCCACACGAGACTTGTCAACTTTATGTCTCAGGGTGATGGGTGCAGTGCCAGTGCCCCTCAGATCTTTGCGATTTAAAGCTCTGAGTTATACTGCAACTGTTATGGGCATACTGTCGCTTACCACCAGGCGTATGACTTGTATTCGTCCAGTCCCTTGGTATCTATAAAAAAAAGAAGATCGGCGCTGGTACACTGGAATGTAACTAATGTAGGCAATCTTCGCGGCGAAACCTCATACACATTGAGGGCGCGCAAGTATACCGCCAATAATTAACGGAAGAAGTTAATTAAAATAGGTGACAACTTAAAAATAGTCGAACAATGAAAATAAAAACTTAATTAAATTCTATATTTGACTGCATAATTGTACTGTTCGGAATGGGCACGCCATGTGTCATCGAACAATTTAACTAAAGTAACAAATTTTAAAACAAGTCATATTGAAATCTAGAATTGAACGTCATCGGAAAGCAAACTTTCTCCCAACCAGGATATTACTGACAACCACCAAGTGCAATAAGGATACAAAAGATACAGTAGATATGAAAGGAAGTCAGCCATTCGATGGTAGACATACGTATGTTTAACTTTCACTTAAACAATTTGAAGTGAACGCTGGATATGTATATGCATATATACATTTTGTAATCACACCGTGCTGACCCATTGAGGGTCGGAGATCACATCTCTACGAGTGATTGGTAAGTAATAAAAAAACACATTCGAAAGCTGATGCACTTTTAAATATTGTACAACTTGATACCTTTAAAATGTAAATAATATAATCACTTAACACTTTTTCTTCATAAGTTACAATAAATATATTTATTACAGTCTTGTAGACACCACCTTACTCATTCTACATACTACGTTGACTGAATAAAATCTATCTAGTTGTAACGTTATATAAAATAGAACGACAATGATTTACGTTTTAAATTGAGCATGTTATGCAAATATTGAATAAATAATTGTCTTATTTCATTCGTGAATAAGGAGCCGTATCATTTCTTATCTTATGATGTTGCTATTTCAACTATACTAATATTTGATGTTTCAAGTAAGTAGTGTTTATTGATGGTTTACATAGATCTTCTTCCTCCGTCATACAAATTTATTTACGTTTTCTTTGGTCAAGTTAAAATAATTGTTAAGTAGTAATTAAGTACATATTAATCAATAGTTAAATCGATGTTCTAGATTGCCTCGTCAAAACCTCCGGTGATTAGAAGACTGGTAGCTTCTTCTGCCAGAGAATAAGTTTAGTCGTAGTGAAAGAAGAAATGCCAGTTTCCACATTACGATGCCGATGAAGTTTCTTTTATATAAAGCATATTTAGTGTCATTATCGTCAGCCTATCGCATTCCACTGCTAGACATAGCTCTCCAAATGTGCGTCATTTCCCCTGATCCTTAGCTTGTCGCATCCATGTGCAGCCTTTGGCAGGCCAGCCAGATGGTGTCTTACACTTACACTATGTTTGCCGAGACGTGGTTTCCACCTCAAGAATTCATTTCTCCGATCGGTTATCGGTTCTTCTACAGATATGGCCAGACCGCTGCTATTTAGTATACTTTTATTCGATATTGGAAATGTTTGAAGGTTTGAGACCATATTTTTTTATTATAAAGTCTTTATTATATTATATTATATTATATTATATTATATTATATTATATTATA